GAATGTTCCTAATCGTTTTTGGAATGAAGCACTCTTAACAGCGTCTTATTTGATAAATCGAATGCCTACAAGAGTTCTTAATTATATTACTCCTTTGCAAGCTCTAAAGAATATGTTTCCTGAAAATAGATCTTTCACTGATTTAACACCTAAAATTTTTGGCTGCATTGTTTTTGTTCATATACACGGCCAAAATAGAGGAAAACTCGATCCCCGAGCACATAAATGCATATTTCTAGGTTTTTCACCAACACAAAAAGGATATAAATGCTTTGATCCTAAATCTGGGAAGTATTATGTGAGTATGGATGTCACGTTTTTTGAAAAACCACATTTTTTGACAAAAACTCTCTTCCGGGGGAGAATGACTCTGAAATGAGTTTTTGGGAACAAACATCCTTGCCAAAATCGATTGTAAATAGCTCAGTGGAACCAATTCATATTTCTGTAACTAATCCTAGGATTTCACAACCTATAAATTCACAACCTCGTGAGACTCAGGTAGAAACCAACTTGGAACCACCTACTGAACTTCGTGTTTATTCTAGACGGATGACTCGAACAAGTAATGTTCCACCGGACCCCAAGGTATGCCAACCATCGGACTCGACTATGGTCCAAGGTACAACTTCTCTTTCTCCTATTTCTTCTCCAAATTTAGAGCCTTCTACAGAATTCTTTGAACCCATAGCCTTGCGCAAAGGTGTTAGATCATGTACCACAAAACATCCAATATCCAATTTCTTATCTTATAATAAACTCTCTCCAGATTTCAAAGCTTTTTCCACCAGGATTATGGATGATGCACTACCTAAGTCGATACATGAAGCTCTAGAAGTTCCGAGATGGAAAGAGGCAGTTTTTGAGAAGTTAAAGGCCCTGAAGAAGAATGACACGTGGGATCTAACTCCTTTACCTGAGGGGAAACGATCTGTAGGCAGCAAGTGGGTGTTCACCATCAAATACCATGCAGATGGCTCGGTCGAGAGATACAAGGCAAGACTCGTAGCACAAGGCTTCACTCAGACATACGGCCTTGACTACGAGTAGACCTTCGCACCTGTGGCCAAACTAAACACCGTACGTGTCCTACTCTCACTAGCCGCCAATCTGGATTGGACTCTCAGACAGTTTGATGTGAAGAATGCGTTCCTAAACGGTGAGCTAGAGGAAGAGGTGTTTATGGAAGTTCCTCCAGGCTTTGATGAACTGAAGAAGGATGGCAGGGTCTGCAAGCTAAAGAAATCCATTTATGGATTGAAACAATCTCCGAGAGCCTGGTTCGAGAGATTCACGAGAGCTGTGAAACAACATGGTTACACTCAGGCCCAGTCTGATCATACTATGTTCTACAAACACAATAATGGTAAAATTGCTATTTTAATTGTGTATGTAGATGGCATTGTTATGACAGGAGATGACACAGTAGAGTTGGAGTCGTTGAAGAACTTATCCAACCAGTTTGAAGTCAAGGATCTAGGACAACTCAAATATTTCCTTGGAATGGAGGTGGCTAGATACTCAAAAGGTATAATTATCTCGCAAAGGAAATATGTCATCGATATCTTGAAAGAGACCGGATTACTCGGATGTAAACCAGTGGCGACTCCTATTGATCCGAATCAAAAACTCGAAAAAGAAGATGGTGTTGAGCCTGTGGACAAGAATCAGTATCAGAAGCTGGTAGGGAAAATGATTTATTTGGCTCATACGAGACCAGATATTTCATTTGCTGTGAGTTTGGCTAGTCAGTTTATGCATTGTCCCTCAGAAAAACACTCCAAGGCTGTTTACCGGATTCTTCATTACTTGAAAGGGAGTCCTGGTAAAGGAATCATGTTTTCGAAGAATGGAAGTCGAAGAGTGGAGATCTTCACTATGCTGATTGGGGCGGAAGTTCTACAGAAAGAAGATCTACTACCGGTTATTGCTCCTTTGTCTGGGACAACTTAGTTACTTGGAGGAGCAAGAAGCAACCAGTTGTCTCTAGAAGCAGTGCGGAGGCCGAGTTCAGAGCCATGGTGCAAGGAGTATGTGAGTTGTTATGGCTTAGGAGGATCTTGGAGGAGCTGAAGGTTGAAGGAGATAAACCGATGAAGTTGTATTGCGACAACAAATCGGCAATCAGTATTGCTCAGAATCCTGTACAGCATGACAGGACCAAACATGTCGAAATAGATCGACATTTCATCAAGGAGAGGCTGGAAAATGGCGATATCTGCATACCGTTTGTTCCATCATCAGAGCAGCTCGCCGATGTTCTCACCAAGGGACTGTTTACTACGATGTTCGAAGGATTTCTGTCCAAGCTGGGAATGATCGATATCTATTCTCCATCTTGAGGGGGGGTGTCGAGAATATCTAAATTAAATATTAGATAGGATCAGTTTTAATTAGTTAGAATCAGTTTTTATTCTATTAGTTATTAGATAGGATCATTTTTAATTAGATAGAATCAGTTTTTTATTCTATTAGTTATTAGATATGATCATTTTTAATTAGATAGAATCATTTTTATTCTGTTGCTAATTTTATGCATCTTTTTATGTAAAGTTGTTACATTGTAAACTCTATTTAAGTCAGCCATATTCAGCAGAAAAAAAACACGATTTATTCGGAACAAGTTTTTTCCGTCTTTACTTATGCCTATTGCCTCACAAAAAAACACATCTAGATGAAATTCTGAGCCACATGGGAGAAAGATTCTTGATTTCATACCTGAGATTCAATTGGACTCTTAATTGATGATGCAGAACTGATGTTTCTAGATGAATTTGACGGTGATTTAGAAATGCAGCAGAGTCTCTTGCTTTTATAGACTGAATGGCAGCTGCCAATATATCACTTGGCATAGAGTTGGGGTGTGACTGCTGGCACCCAAAGGTAACAAGATCAGTGCAAATCTCCAAAAAATAATAATAATAATTAAAAAAATAAATTGTACAAGCAAGTATAAACCATATTTTCATAAATGAATACCAAGGAGAAAAGGCTATTGTAAGAATGTAGTAGGCGTTAAAGAGAATATACAGCATGCTGAACATTGCCAGGTAACTAACATTAATTAAGCAAGGTAATTGAGGAAAAATAATTACTAGGATTTCATAAACGTATAAATGTCTATAAATATTTTAATTAAAGAGAGAATAGCTCTCAAGCTTTGCATCTTCATAAAATGTCAGTAATGCTGTTCTCTGTGACAGCATGCCCCGGAAATCAATTCTGTGTTCTCTTGTTTCATAAAAGTCCACCATTACTATGGCAGAAAATGAGACAGTTCTGTCAGGGTATCATAAGAGCAAAGAGAAGTATTTACCAGTTCATTTGGCAAAATAGGAAGATTCAGTGCATTTGGATCAATCACAGAAGACAAGAGGAAGACTGTTCCATGTTCTTGAAACTTGAATTAGGTATAGACGCACAGGAGACATAATCATTTGCTGCATCAGGAATATCTAGTTTCCTAAGCTCTGACTGCGAAAATTTAGCTGAATTATAGTTCCTAACATCTACATTTGCTCTATGAATATCAAAATCAAAGTCAAGGTGCTCTTTATCATGATATACCAGGTTCCTGCAAAGAAAGGCATTTAAATATCATCTACTACAATGAAGAGAAGCCAAAACTGGAACCTCATTAAGGAATAAGGATATACATACCTAGAGTCCAAATGCATAGAAGCTGAACAACCATTTGAAGTCATCAAGGTCTCTGCCAAGTTATTTGTCAAGGAACTAGATGTTTGTGGCCAGGGCAATGCTGTACATTTGCCAGATTTGTAGGTACCAAAGCTCAAATGTGTGCAATCAGCAGAAAGGGCTTGCAAATAATCTGGAAGAACCACACCACATTTATTCTCTTTCAAAGTCACAGCCTCCTCTTCCTTCCCAAACCTTAGTTGTTGTAAGTTCACAGCAACTGATGATGCAGCTTTGATGGCATCATCAGATAAAGGTGCAAAAGGATTTGGGACAGATGCATTAGAACTTCTACCTGCTAATAAGGTTAGATACCATGGTGTCGAACGCAAATACACATCCAACAATAGCCTTTTGCTTCATTACAAGCATAAAATAAACACTATAACCAAATGTTCAAAAAGGTATTTCTCATTCAACCATTCAAATAAAACACAATAAACACATTAGGAGCTTTTTTCCCTTCTCCTCCCAACCCATTTCTGTACGCTAAAAAATCAAGGAGTTGACGGAAACAAAACTGCACCATGTTTCATGTTTTCTTCTACAAAGGACCAAACAAGACTGTAAATTAACAACCTACGACTTCCCTTTTTCTGTATCTATCACAAGCTCATACATTCTACATATGGTTTTACAAGCTAAGGTTTAGGGGAGGGAGCATATATCTAAATCATTTTCCTATCCGTACTAAAAAGGTTCTACTAAGCAGTGAAAGTTTTAAAATGTTCTAAAATGGCAAACAACATGATAGCAAGCATAAAAAATATTGCAATACTGAGCAAAAGAAAATCTTGGATAAATTTTGTTAAGGATATCTTCGTTCTTCACTCAAATATGAAGATATATACACATTACAGTTAGCTATAACAATCAGAGTACAAACACTGGATCAGATGAATCCAAGATTATTATATTGCATCTCATGCACTTATGCTACAAAAATATTCCATAGTTTAATTAAAAGAACAAATAAAGAGAATCAAACTCAGAACTTAAAAATTTAGATTCCAGGCGTTCATAAATTAGCCGATAAGAATCAGGTAAACTTGTATCCTTATGCAGGTCATCATCAAATTCAGATGGTCCTCCAGAATCACTTGTAAATATTTGTTTGTTAGATGCTAGAGCTGAGCTGACATGATTAGGACTAAGATTCTTCCAGCCAACATTGCTCTCTGATACTAGAATATTATCTGACCAGCAGCTGCTTGACAAGTTAGTTTTGTTACTATGCAAGTTGGATTGATTTGAATACGTCGTACCACCAATATCATCAGAAACTGTAATGGTCTCATTAATAGCCCATTCATTGTCAAAACCATTCTGACTGGATTTCTTTCCAGATTCAAAAGTCATGTTCAAATCCGAAAAATCCAACTCTTGGACTGTTCCTAATTTTGAATCTGAAGTAGCTAGGGATGGTTTCATTTGGTAGATGGTTGAGTTTGGTGGAACAGCATCTTCAGGGGAATAAGGGGTCTCACATCACATTTGTGAGCCTTTACTTTTTGGTCTACCCATTTTTACAATATCATGTTCTACGGTGCTCCCCACCCAAGAAGATTGTAATCGATGAGATGGTGGCATAGATGAATCAATCACATCACCTGGTCCTATTGATTGTCTTCTATAATCAGCATCAAAAAAATTGCTGCAGAAGAATATTATAAGCTCAAAATGAAGAGTAATCATTTCATCAGGTACTAAAGAAAGTTACACAAATATATAACTAAATCCATGCATCAAATGAGGAAAGTATATAAAAGAAAAATAAAAAAATAACCAATAGGTATCATGAGTCATTCAGATGGATACCAAGAATGCATTAACATTACATATGATGAGTAGTAATAGAAAATGTTGTGCGAATAAAACTATTGATAAGCCCGAGTAATTTATCTTCGTTTAAGACTTAAGACACAGACAAGGGCATGTGATAAGCAACAATTTTGCATCATTATAGAACCAACCTTGGCGGGAAAAGCTGCTCATTCAAAGTTTGTCCTGTTGAATGTAATTTTGAAGAAGCAGAATGCAGCATATAAGCAACCGAGTCATTTTCTTTCTTGTATGCAGCTTTACCAAGCTCTGCCACAAGGAACAAAATGAGATATTAAGAACAAAGTTTGACGCTAGTGTCACCAATGCATACATTCTCCAGGGACCGTACCATTGCAACTGTTTAATATTGATCCACTACGCCCGTAAGAATGTTCACTACTGTCTCTCACACCACGATTAGATGGACAACCATCAACTCGGGTGTTTGGTCCTTGTGTTTCTCTCATCTGATAACATATCAAGGGATAAAAATCATATTTCGAAGCAAGAAAGAGAAAAGAATAAAACCTGAAATTACACATGAACTTTGGATCAAACAAGAAAATTGATACATAAACATTGATCTGGTGAAACTGAATAAATGTAATAAAAATATAATTTTAATTCAATTTTCAGAAGCTAATAACACCATTATTGAGCGGACACCGTCTTACTTATTGCATACACAAACGATTATACTTATTCAACATGAAAATAACTGGATTTATTTGTTTTTTGAAGTGCAAATAATTGAGTCAAAACCAAAGCTTCGTATATCTAATTGCACCAAACCAAAGATAACCTATCACAATCCTAGTCGAATCAAAGATCATGCATAATTTTGAGATATTTAACAAAAGGATAACAAGGGGAAAAAAGGTAATTCAATAAAGGAGAAAGTGACTAAGCACATTTTAAAAAGAATAATACCTCTTTTCTTCTTTCCCGTTTGCTTTTTACCTCATGAAAAGTATCTACAAAATTGAAAACAATTAATTTACTAAATATCTCTTAAATTTTGAAAACAGCACCAAAAATTGTCAAAACCTTGTTTGACATTGTTCTTCCACAAAGCACATAATTAAAGGATTCCAATGATACCGCTAAACCTCAGCAAGAAAATAGCTAAACCTATAGCCGTTAAAGAGCAACCTTTGGAATGATACAGCTAGCTTTTTTCTAAGCAGATTTGACGCTTTTTAAGTAGAACTCGAACAGCAAGAAAATATTAATTTTTAAGTTATCAACTATTATATGGAGCAGAAATAAAGAAATAAAAATAAAAGACATTTTGGGAGACATGGTTAAAAGAATTAAAAATATTTTCCCCATAAAATATTACAAGAAACACATTGGTGGGGGGGGGGGAGCTTTTGCATTACATTTTCTTTCGGATTTCTGGGCAAACAAACAAAGTGGCGTAAAAGAAGTAAAAGCACATAAAATTTTTAGCTTCATTAAGAAAGAAGAAAAAGAATGGGGGAAAACCTTGAGAGAGGAGATGTTGAACGGCGTCTCTAGGGTCCATATTACAGTCTCTAAGGACCGCGTAGATCTCCGAGTCCGTGCAGCTATAATTAACAATCTCTTTAAGATTTTGCACTACTTTCTACACCGATGCTGGTTACTCCGACACTTCCGCCGCAGTCGGATGTGGCGACACTTCCATTGGTCGTACCATAACGGGCCGGTCCTGACTATTTTTTTTGCCCGGGACGAAACAAAATAAATGACCCCTAATTTAAAAAAAATATAAAGAATATATTAATATAAAATTGATATTAATTTTTTTATTAAAACAAACAAATAATAATTAATTATCATCTTAAAAAAATTTTAAAAAAATATTTAAGCACAAAACTTTATAGAAAATATTGTCTTCAAGCATTTTTTAAATACAAAATCATTGATGATAGTGTCAATATCAATATTTTTCAACATATTTTTTCAATACATAACATAACTAGTTCATTTAATCTTTCTTGTGACATTGTTGACCTCAAGTAATTTTTTAATAATTTTAGCACATAAAAACTTCTTTCTACGGATGCTACCATCGTCGACATTGTTAATATGATTCGATAAGCAATTGAAACATTAGGATAACAATCTGCAGATTTAACAAACTCAAGAATTTCAACCGCTGACATGAACACATTTGGCAAAGTCAATTGCAACACTTTCATTCCAGAAAAGAAAAATCAACTACATCAACATCCGAAAAATTATTATGAGAAAAAATAATCTTAAAATTATTATAACATTATCTTAATTTATTATCATCAATGACTTCAATCTTATAGAATCAATTAAAAATCCAAAACAATTTTCAAAAATCTTTAACTAACATTTTTGTTTTAAAATTTAAAAATGATTAATAAAATTTGAAAAAAATAACAGTTATAATAAATTTCTAAAAAATTTATAATCAAATCAAATTCTGTAAAGGAATGAACATTTATAATAAATTTCCAAAAAAGGAAAGAACCGTTGTTCTTACAATAACTAAAGTTTTTGCTTTTAAATTGAAAAAGGTAAAATTTAAAAATGGTTAATAAAAATTGGAAAAAAATGAACAGTTATAATAAATTCTAAACAGATATAGAAATTAAAAAATAATTAACGTCTATTGGATTTCCCAAAAAAAATTAGCGTTTATTGCATTTAATTAAAGAAAAAAAATTTAATAAATTTGTGGCCCATGCCTAACCAGTGAAACCATTCTCTATTCATTGAAAAATAAAACTTTTATGGGCCTTGAGCGGGCACCCCTTCTGCCCCAACCCTGCATCACTCCCCATCGCTCTCTCACTCTTCAACGGCTTATCAGATTAATCAAATATACAAGCAAGCAAACAACTTTTCTCTTTTTTCTTTTTATTTATTTATTTTTTTTTCGAGAGTCTATGGTTATGTTTATATATATAGCACACAAAGTTTCAGTTTCTTTTTTTTAAAAAATAAATAAATAAACAAATAAAATTGTGGACTGGTTTTGTGTGCTGAAGTAATAACTTACAGGAAAACGAAACCCTTCCATTTATATAATCATTATATTTAGGGGAAAACTATAATTTATTTTATTCTAAAAGAATTACATTTAAATTAAAATAAAATTTAAGATAATTTATTTCGATATAAAAGAATGAATCTCGATTTGGGGGGGGGATGTTATGAAATCAATGAACGAATCATAAACGAGAAAATAATAACAAATGTCTCGTTAAAAATTCATCTAATCCTAGTAAGAGTAAAAGACAACGAGTGATAATATTACACAAGAAACAACAAGAAACAAACATAATAACAGTCAAAACCAACACCCAAGGCAAGGCAACTACCGAGACCTTAAACGCGAGCAAGATTTGCACTCAGTGTAACCCCTTCAGACCGATACGGGTAACCCGATTTGATTTGGGGTGTCACATTAGGGCCACCATAGCGACCCACCGTAAAAATAACGGAAAATTTAAAACTTTATAAGAAAAATGTAAACTCATAAAATCATTTATAAATACAAAAGTAAACTTTACGAATATTCAGAAATAAAAACATATTTTCAGACTCATATATAAAACAAAATACAACATATATGCCCCCTAATCACATGTACCATAGTTTGTCGGGTAACGCTGGAAGAACTTGCTTAATGATGTTGATAGATGCACTAATACGATTCTTTTAACCTGAAAATGTGAGTAACAAAGTGAGCTTTGGGAAGCTCAGTAATACAATACTACCAGTTGTTGCTACATGACATGCAGATAAATGGAAAGCCATATAATTTCCTTATTAAATCAGATGTATACTGGTTTTCGGAATAATCTGGGGTTTCAATGGTAGTTCATCGAGTAGAAGCCATGAAGATCTCAGTTCATAGGAAGCATTCATAGTATCACATTTTCAGGAGGTCGAATAGGATGTCTAGTGTGTTCCAATTAAAACTAGTGAAAAGATATAAATCTTTTAAAATCATAACGGGGCCCTTCAACCAAACTCCATTATGTAGTTTCCCAAAACTGCATCCATAAGGCTTACCCTAAGAACACAACAAAGGGATCCAATTTAAAGGAGTATTTTAGGGTCTATAGGCCTACCCAAGAAAGTTCTCAGGGCCACGGGGCCTACGCAAGAAAGATATCAGGGCCGTAGGGCCTACCCAAGAATGATCTCAGGGCTACGGGGCCTACCCAAGAAAAATCTCAGGGCCGCAGAATCTACCCAATAATGATCTCAGCCTGCTGAGCCTACCCAAGAGTCACATTAGGTCCGTAAAGATTTACCAGCTTGATCAGGTTGTACCTCCATGTTCTAATCATGCCCAAAATCGGTATCTCAAGATACAATTTGTACATTAAGGAGAATTTCCATAAATCTGTAATCATCGTGATCATATACTAGTGAAAACTGATAATTAGATAACAGTTGTATTCCATAAGTCATCACTAGTAAGTCGGTGCATTAATAAAATAGTAAACCATAGATTTCGGTGTCCCACATTTCAAAACATAACCAATTGCGTAGTACATAGGGAACACACTAGAGGGTCCAAGTATTTTTCAGAGACACTTGGTAGTTATCAGGATGGATAACATGAAACTGATAAGGAAGCAATAAAGGTTCTGGACATATACAATATGTGTTGATCTATCAGATTATCAAAATAACTCAAGCTGAACAACTCTTAGACTAATGCATGTCGACCGGTCCATTTAATGCCCTTCCAAGGAATTCACTTTTTAATACTAACAATTCTTGTCCATTGATCACCTTCATAATCATCACTGAATAGATCTTAAGGAGACGAACAAATATTCCAATGGTATTTATTTTATTCCCACGTTGCAACAATATCAGGAAAATGTCGACATACTTGATTCGTAGTTTACAAACCATAGGGACAGTACATCAGGTAAGTTCATCAACGTTTCCATACTTATCCAAGTCACTCATTTAGTCTTAAGTCATTGAGGTTACTTAGCTCATTTAGCATCCAAGTCTATTTAAGTTACTTCAGAGTTTTCTATAGTAATTCGGACGTTTCTGAATTTTGGATACATATTGTACTTTTGTTCAGTTTAATTTGGTATTCGTGGTTGATTTGTCTAACAAATATCCACTTCTTAGTACCAAATGCGATCTAGAGTTAAACTGAGCTGAGTACTTCCAGAATTATCATTGATCCAAACTTGAGAAGACGAACATACATTCAAGTGATATATATGCCATTCAGGTACTGACATATTATTAGAGTTGATTGACTCACTTAAGTTGTGTTCCATAACTTTTAATGGTAGTACTACACCCATGTTTATTTGGATCCCTTAATTAATCCAGGACATTTACTTATTCTAGGCCATAAGGGTATTTTGGTCATTTTGGTACTCAATGTTATTCTCGTCGTTTCAAAGCTTAAGGATAACCATTCATTCCTGGCTTGGTGATATTCTTGGGTCATTTCCATTCCAGTGTATTTTGGTCATTTTACATATCCAGGGTATTTCAATTTCCTTTCATTCATCTTATTATTTAATTCAAACTTGTCATCCATTTCAGTCTTTTTGAACAGAGCACCCTCAATAAATTATTCTTCGGGTATTTACTCATAACTCTGAGATTTACGAATTATCAAGAATTCTTTGTATAAACATGTGAACTTAACGATGAAATTAGTAATTCATCGATTTAAGCATGACTTCTTAGGTACTTTCTCATTCAGGGTCAATTTGGGCTACTTTTTCCTTTCAAGGGTAATTTCGTAATTTCTTAACCATGAAATTTCGGTATTAAAACTCTTAAAAAGGATAATTATAATTTAAACATTCTAGGGTTAATTGATTTCCCGAATAAAATCTGAACTTGAAATTATTCCTTATTAAACTTCTAATATCTTGTACAAGCCATCTTGGGTTTAGAATCTAGTTATCCAGATTTTCTAAGCAAAACTAGCATTTTCTATACGCATCAGTAGTTTCATCGGATCAATATGTCTTTTCATATTATAATCCAACTTCCAGGGACAATTCTTGTCTTTTTACAACATAAGGGTATTTTCGTAATTTTACTTAACCGAAGTATTCTCATAATTTTTCATCCAAATACCTTTGGTATTAAACTTTAATTATATAAATTATAATTTATATATCCATGGTTGATTCCTTATCACTTAATCCTAGAACTTGTAATTTAATTCCAACTGTCCTCCAATTTCTTACATTAGTCATCTGAGCCATATTCAGCTACCTACTTTTTATCGCATTCGTATAGAGTGTAGGAATTCATTATCTATCCAGATAAAACTAAACATTTTCATTCATGCATTTACCAATACCAACATATTCCATAAAGCATGAAAAGGTAGTAATGTATTACCTCGATTTTCATGCCATATCGATTGACCATTTAATTTCCATTCGAATGCCTTCAATCTTGAAATCAATGTCCAATAATTCCTCAGATACACACCAATAGAAAATTCATAAAAAACGGAGCTTAATTACGAAAAACATATCGAATCGGGTGATTAATTAGTGAAAAATAGCTTATCGGGTTCGAATTTGGCAAAACAGACTTCAAAATCAGACTCAGGACGTCGAAAAACATAAAATATG